TAATTTTTTATTTTTTAAGGCACCTAGAAAAAAGATATCCCCATTGTACCCCACTCTCCCCTACTCCTTTGTTCATTACAATCTAAAGATGACACGACTAATAAGAAAATGACAAAGAGTTCAAATAAGAAAATAGCTTGTATCTTAGAAGATATTAGTCTTAGGACCCATGTTAATTAGATCTTTTCTTCTTGTTTTGATCAATACAACTTGCTATCAAAACATGTGATCCTTTTTTTTCAACACTCTGTATATATATATATATATATATATATATATATGTGTGTGTGTGTGTGTGTGTGTATATATATGTATATATATATGTGTATATATGTATATATATATATATACACACATATATATATATATGTATATACATATATATATACATATATATATACATACATATATATATATATATATATATATATATGTATATATATATGTGTATATATATATGTATATATATATATATATATATATATATGTATATACATATATACATATAGTTGTTCTAAATAATTACCATATACATATATATATATATATATATATATATATATATATATATACATATATATATATATATATGTATATGATAATTATTTAAAACAACTATCCTCATCTCCAATTTTGATGAAAATAGGCTCATTCGACGCGTTTTTGCATAAAATAAAAGAATCCGGTCAAAAACATGTCGCTCTGCCTCGCGAAGCGAAATATTTAGCGTGTAGTCACATTAAAGTTAGTCACATTCAAGGTTAAGGAATCTATCATCAGAACGTAACGCGAACTAGGCTTGTACTGATAGGTTCAACACACACTCAATTATTTTCTGCTATAATTTAGATTTTATATAAATTTTTAGTAATTATGTAGTTTAGCTTCCTCATCTCCGATTTTGATGAAAATAGGCTTAATCTACGCGTTTTTGCATGAGAAACAACTTTTTCCTCTGACAAAATTGTCGCTCTGCATTGGGTAACGAAATATTAGCCAACAAAGTTATAAGATTGGGTTGGGTTAGGAAATGTGTCACATCGACGATATGTAGCGACATGTACATGCCTTGCGGCATCATACATGCTCCGTGCCACATAGAAACAATGCGTGAATTAGAAATGTATTAGAATATGCATAAGTAAAAAAGTATTATTGGAACATTAGCATTATTGAAACATTTGCATATGAACTGTGGGTCCAGAGGGGTTCGCGGGGGGGGGGGGGGGCAAAGTCCTCCCCCCCGGTTTGGTAAAAGTAACATTCTAAAAAAAAAAAAGAAAAATGCATCTCGCATAGTATTATACATGTGTTGTTTTTGCATGCCATTCATACATCCTACCTTACGTAAGGGTCTTGCTTGTCTTTTTATTATCCATTTTAGTATATAGTAGACTCATACATTTAGTAAGGTAAAGATTTAATAGATATATTCATAGAAATGTAAGCAATGCATTATAAGTACATAGGTCACATTTGCATACTTTTGCATGTTGCTACAGATATCAGACCTATATAATCTCTGCCTTACTAAATGAATTTACAAGATATTAAAAATTGTTAATACCGAAAATATTAACAAGACCCCTATGCAAGGGGGAATGTTTTACTAAATCTTTACTTTACTAAATGTATGAGTCTACTATATACTAAAATGGATACTGAAAAGACAAGTAAGATCCCTATGCAAGGTAGGACATATGAATTGCATGCAAAAATAACACACATTTAACACTATGCAAGATACATTTTTCTTTTCCTTTTAGAATGTTACTTTTACCAAACCATTTGGTATGTCCTACTTTGCATAGGGGTCTTGCTTATCTTTTCAGTATCCATTTTAGTATAAAATAGACTCATATATTTAGTAAGGTGAAGATTTAATAGATATATTCATAGAAATGTAAGCAATGCATTATAAGTACACACATATGTCATATTTGCATATTTTTGCATGTTGCTACAGACATTAGACCTATACAATGTCTGCTTTATTAAATAAATGAGTCTACAAGATACTAAAAATTATTAATACCGAAAAGATTAACAAGACCCTTACACAAAGGGGAATGTTTTACTAAATCTTCATCATACCAAATATGAGTCTACTATATACTAAAATGAATACTGAAGACAAGCAAGACCCCTATGCAAAGTAGGACATACCAAATGGTTTGGTAGAAGTAACATTCTAAAAAGAAAAGAAAAATGCATCTCACATAGTATTAAATATGTGTTGTTTTTGCATGCGATTCATACATCCTACTTTGCGTAGGAGTCTTGCTTGTCTTTTCAGTATCCATTTTAGTATACAGTAGACTCATACATTTAGTAAGGCAAAGATTTAGTAAAACATTCCCCCTTGCATAGGGGTCTTGTTAATATTTTCAGTATTAACAATTTTTAGTATCTTGTAGACTCATTTATTTAGTAAGGCAGAGATTATATATGTCTAATATCTGTAGCAACATGCAAAAGTATGCAAATGTGACCTATGTGTGTACTTATAATGCATTGCTTACATTTCTATGAATATATCCATTAAATCTTCGCCTTACTAAATGTATGAGTATACTATATACTAAAATGGGTAAAGACAAGCAAGACTTACACAAGGTAGGATGTATGAATGGCATGCAAAAATAACACACGTGTAATATTATGCGAGATGCATTTTTCTTTTTTTTTTTGAAATGTTACTTTTACTAAACCGGGGGGGAGGGGGAGCTTCGGCCCCTAGACCCCCAGTTCGTACGCAAATGTTTCAATAATGCTGTTTCAATAATATTTTTACTTTACTTATGTATGTTCTAATACATTTCTAATTCGCGTACTGTTTCTATGTGGCAAGGAGCATGCGCATGATGCCGCGAAACAGGTACATGTTGCTACATATCGTCGATATGACACATTTCCTAACCTAACGCGTCGTCCACTTTGTTGATTAATATTTCGTTACCCAGTGCAAAGCGACAATTTTATCAGAAAAAAGTTGTTTCTCATGCAAAAATGCATCGATTAAGCCTATTTTTATCAAAATCAGAGGTGAGGAAGCTAATTACCTAGATAATTACCCTAATTCTAAATTCAGAATATCTTACATATCTGATAATGTAAGTATCTGATAACAACTATTAATACGAATCTGAATTTTTTTACCTACGATGCATATTCTAATTTCACCCAAGATATGATGAAAATCATACAGTGACATAAGGTTATGTCGCAACGGCAAGGATAGCTTCTTCTTCTTATTATTATTATTATTATTTTGCTTGAACTCAGACTTATCTCTATTGTCTTTTCATCCAAGGTACCGAGGTACGAATTCCAAAAAATCAGGTCCGAACATACTTGAATACATCACAACGTAACGACGATTAAGCCGAAACTGGCAATTATCGATCGAGATTTCTCTCTCTCTCTCTCTCTCTCTCTCTCTCTCTCTCTCTCAATATTGGTTCCAGGTAATCCTACGATTTTTCCCCAACATCATTCTAATTAGATCGATCGATGATTTGAGAATCGATGCTTTTTGTACAAATAATCGATTATTTCCCCGATGTTTTTGGAAATCGATTAATCCCTCAATATCGATAGTTTTTTACTTCGATGTTACTAAATTTATTTTGATGTTTACTAGATTTTATTACTAGAGATTTAGGATGCGCCCTTAAGTTTACATATAATCATAAAAAGCTGAACAATAATAGGTTTGTCGAGTTGCTTGTACTTTTACACCTAATGCCCGTTGCACACTAGTGCAACTCAAAACAATATAAATTTTCCAAAATACATTTTGAAGACGATTTCAGGACGGAGGGACGTCATCAGAATATTCTTAGAACGTCCTTTAAAGGTGTGAATTGTCTGAAAATAGCTAATATCCAATAAGTTTATTCACATTAATTGAATTTTTTACACTTTTATACTTAGTGCACATTAAGGGCCAGAGTACTTTTGAAAAATATCGGGTGTATATCAGTTGGACACGGGGCAATTGGACACAGTCCAATCACAAGTCGCTGTTCCAAAGGACCCTACAAATGTCTCTAATCATACGGTGCTGTGATTGGCTGTGTCCAAATGCACTGTGTCCAAGTGCACTGCTTCCAAAAATATCATATACGATATTTCGATAAAAAAATATAATATACGTAACATGAACTATAGTTTTTCATAAAAAATCGTATGCGATATTTTTCGAGAATAAGACCCCAGCGCACGAACATTGCCGTAGCTCCTTATGTTACCTTACGTGACAACCTTACGTTACGTGAGACGTAAGTTGAACGGGAGCGTTCCGATTGACCACGGTACGATTGGACACAACCAACCGATGAAAAGAATTATCTAGTGAATTACTAGGTCGAACCAATCATTATAATCTGTGTCCAATCGTATCGTGGTTAATCGGGTCCCACCCAAGCTGAACGTACGGCAATGCACGAAAATTTTACGTTACGTTACATTACGAAGGAACATAGTGGTTCTGTGACAAAGGTAATTAAATCAGATTATTGAACAATAAGTAAAGAAACAATAATAATTTATCTTTACAGTCATAATTAGAAATGTCTGTGGCGTTCGAAGCTCGCGCGCCGTCATCTGCGGCACCACCTCGCAGGAGCGCGCCGAACCGGAGGAAACAGCAGCTCCACCCGCGGCCAATGTTTTAAGCTCCGCGGATGCCCTCTGGAGCTACCGGCGAAGCTTGCGCAGCTTAGTTTAGCGCGCGAACCTATCGCACAGATACACGGGGGCTCACGTGGTGCGACATATGGTACAACACGTGGCGCAACCACGTGCAGACGAAGAAGAAGACTCCCTAAAAGAGCAGAATCACTCTCTCACCGTACAGAAACTTATGCAATTCACCGCGGCAAGAGACACGTCGTCTCGTCTCTCGCTCGCGGTCGTGACTCGCGCTGGACATTCCGCAACTGGAGAGAAACAGAGTCTTCATCAGGTATCGCGACTTCTTGTCACCGTTGTCGACGAGGGGATCTTTTCCACGCGTTTTGCGCCGCGCTCCCGGCTCTTTGTACCGAGGGAACCATCTTTGTATATTTTGTGTGACCTTTGTAATATACAAGTGAAAGTCATTATCGATTTTTCGTTACTCTCGCGACCTTCCGACACCGCCTTTCCAGCCTTTCTTCTTATTCCATTGTTCTCCAAATGTCTATATTGAGCACATATTAATTTTATTAAACTGTTAAATGTATCTGTACAAAATTATAAACATTGGGTTATAACCTCTTCCCAATTCTATGTATAGAATATGTTTGACATATAAATATTGAAATAAAATTTTAGATTCTTAAGTCAACAAATATGAAAACATCAAAGTCTATGAAGTTAAAATGTTTATTGTTTTCATTACTCTTAATTTATTATATGAGACTAAAACGGAGAAAAACACACAAAAGATGGCAAAATAGAAGATGGCTCGTGAGACCAATTAATCAACAGAGAAAACAGCAAGGAGAATGAAAATCTGTTTCAAGAATTAAAAACTGATGAAGACATGTTTGTCAAATATGTTAGGATGAATATTCAACATTTAACAAGTTATCAACCATGCTAAGCCCTTATTTGGTAAAAAAAACTAAGAAAGTTCTGTTTCCGGAACACAGGTTAATAATAATATTAAAATAAATATAGTTTATTAGTAAAAAATTGTTTGATGTAACTACTTCTTAAATTTTTAGTTATGTTTAGAAATCATTGTTAGAAAAAAATGTTTTACGAAATTATAAACTATATAGCAAAAATTGTGATACATTTTTCAGATATCTTGCAACAGATAATTCAGTAGCAAGTATTGCATATTCTTTTCGAGTCAATTGTTAGACAGTTAATGAAAGAAGTGTGTCTAGTTATTGTTAATATATTACAGCCTCTATATTTAGCATGTCCAACTGAAGAACAGTGGAAGAATATTGCTGATGGATCATTATACGAGTACATGGAAATGCAGCATCTGCGATAAAAAAAATCCAAGCATAGAGATATTACTTCCGGGAAGATAAGCGCATGAAGTGGACAAATTAAGTCTATTATTTTTTAAATATTTTCCAATAGTTGACGATTCAAAAATGCCTCCGTCATTATTTCCTCCATAGGCTCCTATATCAACTAAACTAAATCTATATAAATGATCAGATATTGCCATAAGAACAATGCTGAATTGTTTCTTATAATTAAAATACAAGCTTCCAGAATTAGGACATCGCAAAACTACGTGTTTTCCAACAATAGCTCCAAAGCAGTTAGGCATATTCCATCGGTTCCAGTATTCATCAGCAATATTCTTCCACTGTTCTTCAGTTGGACATGCAAAATATAGAGGCTGTAATGTATTAACAATAACTAGACACACTTCTTTTATTAACTGTCTAACAATTGACTGCCCAACTCGAAAAGAATATGCAATATTTGCTACTGAATTCTCTGTTGCAAGATATCTGAAAAATGTATCACAATTTTTGCTATATAGTTTATAATTTCGTAAAACATTTTTTTCTAACAATGATTTCTAAACATAACTAAAAATTTAAGAAGTAGTTACATCAAACAATTTTTTACTAATAAACTATATTTACCTTAATTTTATTATTAACCTGTGTTCCGGAGACAGAGCTTTCTTAG